GGGGGGTGGCGTCGGCAGCAAGTTAAAAAAAAAGAAAACCGAGGAAAATCTCTCTCAACTGACCTGGACCTACACATCCTTTAACTTTAAATAGAAAGCCACCCCGAGTCCTCACTGCCATACTCGAAGCCTTTCTAAATAACATGTTGGGATCCACACATCCTGCTGCTTGGAGTTGCAATAGTGTAGGTACTTTTTCACCCACCAGCTTAGGGCCAGGCAGTCTGTTTTCATACTGTACCACCCCTTTACGTACTCCCTTGCCTGAGTAGCAACTATAAGTGCAAGCCAAGCTTTACTCTTAGGCGATTCCACCTTCTGATATTCAACCCTTGATGTCAACAAGTACAACTGAAAAAGGGAGAGACTTACTGTTGTTTTCTGAGACAGTGAACTTTTCTAAAGGGCCTTACTTCCAAGAAAGGCTTTAGAAAGGATGGATCACACCCATTTCTAACTGGGAGATATTGCAGTTGTTCAGATTAAAATTCAATTGTAAATTTGGATGTGAAATGGTTAACCTGGTACGGCAGCTCTCCACAAGCCACCTTAGAACCTTGGTTTATCTCTGCCCCCGAAATCTCAGGATGCCAGAGAAGTAAACTAGAAGCGTGTACCACAAAGCTAGGACCAAGCTTTTATTTGCAGCTGCTGTAAACTTCCCTCCAACTAGTGAATCCCCCTACTCCACCTCCAACCTCTGAGTACATTATACTTTATTTTTACTGCTTTCCAGCTTCCTGTCTGCTACTGCTCTGTTACAAACACTGAAGTTGCTTTATTCTTCTTCTGAGTTCTGAAGTAACGGGTTAAAGTTCTTTTGGCACTTTTCGTAAGAGGAGGAATTTTTCAAAGTCTTTTGTTAAAATTTCCTTGTCCTGTTTTTAAGGCAGGGTGTGCCCTTTGCCACTTAACACAAATCAAAAGAATTTCAGTGGTAGCGTGCGCATAAAGCTCATAAATCACTTTTAGAAAGCCATAAAACAAAATTATCTACAAAAATCTAGCACACCAAGGAAGCAGACTCGTGGTTATTCAATAACTATAACATTTAACACTACTTCCCTTCTGCCACAGATCCAGCCTGACAGAGTCATTTATCCGTAACCAGTCCATAACGTTGGTATAAATGAAAGCCCCTCTCAGGCTTGCACAACCCGTTTGACTGGTCTTCCACCCTGCTTTGAGACAGGACATTTAGAAGTGAATAGCCCAATATTAATTTTTTGAAGCAAGCAGCCTTATCTTACGGTCTGCTAACAACTCCATGAAACACCCTTATCTTTTTGAAATTCTCCGGTTAAGTAAAATAACAGAGATCAGCATTTTGGAACTCTTCCCCCATCAGGAGCCTATTTGTTTGAAAATTAGGAAAATATACTCATCGCTCAAAGACAAGCATTCAGTGACCTACCAGCTCTTATAAATACAAGATATGATGCTGGCAGGGCTAGTGGAGCTGCTACATTTGACAAGGCTTCCTTGCCAGGCTCTGCAATCTATTCAGCACTCAGGGGTGCCTGTTAATGTGCCACACAGAGTGGCTACTGAAACACACACACAGCCCGAGTTTTCTGGGCAGGAAAACAGTCTGCTCAGATAGAGGAATGGGTAAACTGATAATACGTATTCATTTATGACAGAAAAAGGTAATAAAAAAAAAAAAAAAAGAAAGATTAGCCACTCCGCAGCAGCGTAAAAGAATGCGCTGCAGATTTGGTAAATTAGATGATACAGAACAGACCTGAAAAATGTGAGCAACAAATGCTTCCACTTAAAGGCTAGACGAAATGACAAGTTTTACTCCTCCCTTCCACCACTTTCAGCAACGCTGAATAAACACTAACAGGTTCAATCTCCTCCTCCTCCTTTCCTCAAACCTGGGCAAACCTTGCCTCAATAACACAGCAATTTGTTACGTAAAATCCAGCGTCTCATGCAAACACTCAACAACCTTCCTTAGGAGTATTTCACAAGCCAATACCTTCCCGACGGCACAGTCCTGACAAGCAGCTCTAACTGATCTCCAGTTTCACCTTCCCTGTCCTATGTGCAACCCACGTACAATGTCAGAGTTCCTACTTTGAAACGCAAGTAATTTTTCCCCTTCTCCAGTTATTTTCCTAGGTGTTTCATATATATCACACCTATAAATACTGCAGAAGGGGTAGAATGTTTTTATTTTGAACCTAACAGGAAAAAAATCAAATGGATTTCTCTGCTTTTTTTTTTTTTTGCTTATCTCCTTTTTCACTAATAGAAAATGCTCAAGTTACGTGTATCCATTATGTAAATACTGGAAGCCTTTTATCTCTAGCACTGAAATTGGGAGGTAATATCTTTAAAGAGACTTTAATACAGCATCTTATCCATGTTGCATTAATATCATCTGCCTTATATCAGAATAGCATGAAAGTATACTAGACCTTCAGCTTTTGTGTGTGTGCGTGGGGGTGATCTAATCTGATTAGGATGCAAAACATAACGGGATGAATACCAAAGTCATACCTGTATTACAGCCTCAAGATTACAACATATGCCACTATAAGAGATGTATTTTGGAGACAACAAGGCCATGAAAAACAGTCTCAAGACTGTTGAAATTGAGTGGGGGAGAGGGGTGGAGAAGAGCAGTAGAAAAACAGCAACACATTTATTGTACCCACTTTGTATTGATTCAAGCACCAGAAGCCACTAACAGCAGCCCCTCATTATAGGAAGGAACACAAAGGTTTTAGAAATAAAAATAGCATACCAACATTTTCAGCTCAACAATCCCAAATGATCCACTATCATTAGTCAACTGTGCTTTTAAAAGCTTTCTCATTCAACCTGCTGAGACCTGGCATTTGTTTTTCAGGTTCAGTTACAGAGGCAAAGGCTCTAGCAGGCCACCGGTATCGAAAGAGCCCGCAAGTCCTGTGGCCTGTAGAGACCACTGCCACTCTCTAGAAAGCTCAGATACACAAATTGCTCAGGTCACAGCAATATGCAAAATAAATATTCTGTAATTCAAATGACAAGCCTGAGAAAGCACCTACTTATTGAGGAACTGAATTACAGCACAGGAAGGACAAATGCAAGCCAGCAAGGCGTAACTATGTTCGTAGAGGGTAAGAACAGGCTCTTGCATCTTTTTTAATACTCTGCTGACACTTCCCTGTCTGACAGAAAGGCATCAAAAGCTTCAGTGGTGCCAACAGCACTGACTCTCCTACTCCAACGAGACAACAACAATGACAAGAGAGTACTCCAACACAAAGGGTTAATGGGCAGGTTTTTTTGCAAAGTTGTCTTAAAAAAAAAATCCCCAGAGAAGTTCATTGAAACCATTCTTAATCCATTCTTAGTAAAACTGTTCCTTAGCAGTGAACAGGCCCGTGTTTCTTTAGCCAAAGCAAAGAGTACACTGGCTCTGACAACTACTATTTATCATCCTAGTAACAAATTAGAACAGGGAAAGGAAACAGCTAAGAAAGGAGGCTTAAACTGTGGAAAAAAAAAATAAAAATTCAGCCATCCATGGCAAAGATCAACCTCCACAGATCAGTTCACTCCCTCTTGGAATCCTTTTTCTTCTCACCTTCACAAAGCTAAACATGCATCAATAAACAAATCCCAAAGCCGTTGCAACTCTTGTTTCAACTGAGAGGACACACATCAACAAACACGTGCTAGAATGTAGGGTGCATATGGCCAGAAAGACCCACCCGAAGACTCCTGCCCAGCCACCTACGAAACAGCATTTTCTACCCAATCTCTGAATCAATCCATAACATCTACTTCAAAAGAGTCACTCAAGGATGAGTCCCAAATGCTGTGATCAATTCAGGCAAATTCAGAACAATGTATGCTCTACACACAACAGCTGATCCTCACCAGCATCAACAGGTTTAGAGATTGGAGTGAACATATGGTCTTGAAGTAGTAAAGAGTTATTTGGTGCTTTAATGTCATATTCTTTAATGCAGGAGAAAAATCAGCTGTAGTCTAAAGGCTTTGCTATTTCTCCACCTCCTTCCCAATCTCATTAATTTCTACTGTATCCCAGTCTTCGCTTATCTTTTGTCTTTGCACTTCCATCTCTGCTATAGTATTTACCTCTTACATTTCCTTCAACTCCACTTACTGAAAATAATCATAGCTCTTAGTAGTTCAAGATGGCACTATCACCGGGCAACAGTGGTCAGAGGAGCCAAATTCTTCACATCATCAGGCAGATTCTAAGCTTCCAGCAATCATAAGTACTGTGCTTAACTTCCAAATGTGCAGAGAATGTAACATTTGCTGACATAAGGAAAGAAAAAACTGCTTTAAAGCAGCAAAAGCAAATTTCAAACAACTTCAGTACAGCTCATGTATTTCAAGTTCATGGCTGAACCTGGGAATGTGTCTCTGTTCAAATGATGTGCTGGAATATGGCAGCTATCACGTCTTCCTTCAACCACCACTTGCCCCAATTTAATAATGGGAGGCACTGTTTGAAACTCTTAATTAGTTAATTTGTCAATCAGCTTAAAAGTGGAAAAGAAATTCTCCATAATGCATGCATCTAAAAACCAGGGCAAACACGAGCATTTTGAAGATCTGCAGTTTGAAAACAAGTCTGTAATTAAACCTGTTCTCCTATTTATTTTTCATGTTTCTGAAGACCAAAACGCCAAAACCAGACCGCCTTCTCCTAAATTAACTGCTACTTCCATTGTTTCCACTAACAGAGACCACCTATTTCCCTTATTTATAAAAGCCATCCTATCCCCAGTGCTAGAAAGAGCAACTACAGAGTCACGTGTTTATACAAACAATGAGAAGTGATGACCTCGGCGGGTGTGAAATCAAGCTATATTCAGAAAAGCTGCCAGTTCCATATTCTGCGAGGAGCATACGAATATAAGGGACGGAGAGAAAGACAGCTGACAAATGCAGATGACAGTCAATGCAAACAAGTGCACCTACAAAAAAAAAAAATACCGGAGAGGCAGAAATGAGAGAGAAGGATCTGAAGACCTGTGAAAGACAAAGCCATCAGAGACCTGCAGAAAGGCCAGCCTGAGAGAAGACCGGGTGGAAAAAAAAAAAAAAAAGGAAAGAAAAATAAAAGGTAGGAGTCGAAACAAAACATAGTTCACCGATCACAGTCATTCAAGATTCCCTTTACAAGAAATGAGCACGGAGAAGTTCACATTTTTTGGTCAGGAATGTAAAGGTAGATTTTGAACCTGAATTAAGCCAGCATACAGTTTCCTGATTTCCATTCAAAACCTCAGAAAAGCCACCAGAAGTCAAACTTACTTTTAAGCTGTTGAGGGTTGGTTGGTTTTGTTTTGGTTTTTTTTTGCATTCAAGTCATAGTTTTCAGTGTTTGCCAAGAAGCCTGCTTCTATCAACAACTTTCATCCCCTGCTCTCTAACTGCCATTTCTCTTCACATCCTTTTGGCTTACCCCACCCACCCAAAAGAAAGTTGTGGGCAAAACGTTCCCAAGGTTTAGAAGACAAGTCATCTTGGGGTTCAGTCTCGTTATTTGAGCCTATATTACTCAAACTCGTAAAGCGGGGTAAGAACAATGTGGTAGGCCAGAAAACAAACTAAAATGTTACTTAATTCACAAAACGACCCTGTCAGGAGAGTATACTGTGCTAGACTGAGGCGAGGAGGAAATGATGGACAGGTATTTTGTGGGAGGTACAACGGGAAAGACACCGAGAAGCTAAATAACAGGAGGTTGTTATGTGTGGTCTGCTGTCAACAAAACCTGGGGTAATGGCTTGTGCTGGGAGGGCTGAGAGCATACATTATAGTGATGTGGCTTAATGGTCAAATTTTTAGTTTATCTAGGTTCCCTCTTAGGCATAATAAGCAGAATATTATTTTTTTATTTATGTAGTAATCAAAACCAGAAAGATTCGGTATTCATGTTTAACAAAACAATTTATCTGAAACTGAAACAAGTGCCCAAATCCCTATTTTCATAACCTTCAAGTCATGCAGCATGTGACCTTTGTGGCAAGACTTAAAGCAAGCAGTAAATCCCAAATTTTAACTTTCATACACTTGTTGGCAATGCATCTTAAGACTTAAAATATTCAGGTTTTTTTTTCTTTTTGGAAGAGTATTGAACCAGAACAACAATATTTTTAACACAGCTATATATATGCAAATGTTTGTCACGGGCCTATAAGAATTTTATACCTGTACAGTTAATTTAGTAAGATTACAAATAAAAAAATGGATTTTTTAAATGTATTGTCAGTCAACACAATATTTACAAACGTTCATAAAAATGAGGGGTTTGTGCTTATTTACTTCCCTATTTGCATCAAATATTTTAAACTGCTTTAGTGATAGCCATGCTGGAGAAGCTTGTTACAAGTGGTACAATCTGTTCAGAATCTCTAGGACCACCACACTGTCCTGATATTACCTTTCTACACTATTCCATTTCTGCCAAAAGCTTTCTTTTGAAGTCTGGCAGGAGCTTCCAACTCCCAGTTAAATTCTATTTATTAGACTAATAAAAAACACACACATAAAACAGTCACATAATTTAGTGTCTTTCTGTCAGGCAGTTTCAGGCTCTGACACAGCTCAAAACAATTAGAAGACCAGAAATCAGATTCTACCTTATTTTTGAAGTGCACTTCAATGGGCATAATGAAGCCTGCGTAGCCAGACTCCTCCACTTTGTAAGGGGGCTCCTTGCACACTGAAAAGAGAATAGACAAATGTTAACTTTGAATGTAATGCAACTTAATCTGAGCAAAAAAAGGAGTGGCAAGATGAGAAATGGGCCTCTGACGACTCAGGTCACAATTTAAAACGCTGACCTTTGGGGAGAAAAAAACCCACCAAAATAAGATGGTGGCCATAGGCTTAGTTAAGAACATGAAAATCTGTTCTTAGCTCCTCCCATGGAAAGGAAACATAAAACACTCCATGCCAGAGTCTCCATGAGATTCTTCCCCCCCTCCTTTTGCAGCGAGATACAATTACATTTCTGTGCTGTTCCACAACAATGCAAACTGCCGGTTAAAGCCATCTTGAAAAAAAAAAAAAAAAAAAAAAAAAAAAAAAAAAAAAAAAAAAAAGGCAAAGACCCAAAAGGTGGGAATTGGAACAGCACAGAGAGGTAAGATTTACTTCAATGCCCATATTTATTAATCAAAACACTCTACCATACAAGTGGACCTATTTTTTTTTTTTCCCTTGAACTGCTCTCCTGCAACGCTTAATCTTCATAATTACGTAACGGCCATACCACAAGCTGCTTCACCCAAACGTCCTAACAAACCTGAAGGGCAGGTAAGCACTGCTATTTATTTCACATACACGGAAATGGAGAAAGGTTAAACCGTTTGCCCCTAAGGTCACCGTGCTGCTTGCTGCAGAAACATCGATTACAAAAGTTAATCGCTTCCAAGAAATTAGTCTGCGTGCTTCCTGCCTCAGTTCCCCCTGTCCCTCTCTACCTGTCGTATCTTCATGCTACTGAATCCTTCCCATCATCTACCACTGCATTTCGGTGCAGCGACAGCCAACTCGAAGGATTCCAGGATCATTTATTTGGCCATGACATAGCTACACGTAACAGCTGCCAGAAGAAACATGAGACCAGCACAGATATTCTCCCTCTCAGGAACCGGATGCACTTGCATATAATTTATGCACTACAATATATGTAAATAAAGTCAATTAAGTAATTAGAGGAATTCAGTGCAAATCTTTTTACTTTCTGTAAATAATTCCAAGTAATTAATATGATTTGGAAACAGTACCTCAAACCTAAAAAACACACGAGTTATTTTCCTTTTAATGTAGATATATTATCCGCAGCTCTAAGCACTTCTACCCTCATTAAGGTGCTAGAAAGCAGTCCTCAAAATTCAACTGTGAAAAAAGAGCCTACCTAAAAATAATAAAAATCTCGAGACTTGCTTTAACTTGAATTTCATGTAAGAACCCTATCATTTAGGGGAAAAAGCCTAAAACCAAACAACAGTGCCAATATGGCAGCAGGAAGCTGAAGACTATCTGCCAAGCAGCCTTTGTTCCTTTGCCACTCTAACAAATTAAAATTACTACACAAGCAATCTGCTAGCAGCACAGGCCTACCTTCACCAGTAGATTCTGCTACAAGTATGAGCGATCCATCTGAAGAAACCCTTCAAACAATTCTAGAAATAGTATGCATATGCCGTACCGTTTATGTACAACCCAGCCACACTTTGGTCAAAAGCAAGCTGGCATGATGAGCAAGCTTAAAAAAAAAAAAAGAGGATGCAAAACCTAGAGATCCAAAAAAAGAGCCTCTTTGAAGGTAAGACGATACGGCAACCGACTGAGCAAAGACCACGTACTATCCCAACACGGTTGTTTGTAATAAAGCAATTACACCAGATGACAAGAGTTGTAGCACAGCAGATTGTAACTTTTAGTCCATAAATTAGCTTTCAGCTCAGTACCACACTTGTTTATCCTTCATCCGTTTTACTACATCAATCCGAAGGAGACATTATTAACACACAGACTAGACTCACACCCTTATGAGCTGAACACCTTTGAGTTACTTTCCACTGTGGACTCTCACAAATAGCCAGTGTAGCAGGTAGCCCTAAAAGACTTCCTGCATGACCAGCAGTCTTCCAAATATTTCAAAGAACGCACATTACCAAGTAATTTACAGCACTACTCTTCGGCAGCCAGCGTTCCTTGTAACACTTCACGGCCGTAACGCTGCAGATGCAGTTACACAACCGTAAGCAGATCTAACTCTGCGCTGCTGCCGAAAAGGGCAATTCCTGCTCCTCCACCTCAACCTGCATTCCTGCTGCCCCGTGCCAAGAATAAGGTTCACGTTGCTGCACAGTCAGAAAGAGGAAAGAACAGATCCAGCGGAAAATAAACACTACAATCTGTATTCTCTCCCCAGCCACGCTGACTGCACAGCACTTGCACACGCAGCTGGAACGTGCAGCCACTGGCGAAGAGACAACCACCACCTCCTCAGCATCACCCATTTCTGCTGAGTTAATGCTACCTGAACTGGCACCCGAGACTAGAAATTGCAGGGATCCTGATAGCTACTTAATGATCAGTGCAAAAGCCTACATACTCCAGTACGTATATGAGCATCTCTCACCAGTCACGTGCTTCGAGCTTGTGTTGGCAAATACTAACAAATCAAACCCATCCTTCCCATTTTGTCACATGAATTATCTTCTGCTGTCACTGTCTTGAGAATCTGCATGTACTAATGCTTAAATAAGAGGAGAAAGCATCTCACCTCCAGCCCTTTCAGCAGAAGAAAGGTCCCATTCTCCCTGACCTTCCTCAAACAAAGACGGTAAAGGTTAAAGCTGAAGTGCACGCAACGTATATTTTGCTCCTCTTTAAAGAGATATTTTACAGAACAGTGACAGTCCAAGACAACCTTGACTTGCACAGTGCTCTTTCATACAGAGAAGACATAATAATGTATCTTCAACAATGCACTCACCTCGCTTGGGTTTTGGGAAGCTCTCATGTAGCCGAAAGACCACCCTTTCCACAAAATGCTGGATGTCACACTGCTCCGGGCCACGGACAAACACCATCCAGTCATGAGTAAACCCTTCAGTGGTGGGCTTTTTCCGCAGTTGGGCTCGGTGCCCCAGCTCCAATTTTACTTGAACCGTGCACTGTTTTAGGACAGAGGTAAGACCATAAGCAAAACGAAACAGCTTACACGTTATGCATAATGCTGAGCCCCACCGACAGAAGATGCTAGATCACCGCAGGGGAGGAATACAACAGCCTCCACAGAGAGATTAGTCTTATTCTGAAAACTACAGTGTTGTCAACAGAAAATGTATCATAAAAATAGCTCCTAGCAGCATTTCATACCTATTTTCTTCCTAATATTAGCATTGCAGAGAACACAGCTTTGGAAGAGGGATAGGTTTATCTGCTTCACTTATCATATAAATTGCCAAAGTCCTAATTGCGGAATCCTTATTTCTAGAAAGTGTCAGAGACAGAACTTGATGTTCACAGCTTACAGAATTCACAACACTGACAGAAAACTAATCTGAAAACCTGGAAAAATTAGATCATGAATTGGTGGTTTATGATATTCTCTAGAATATGTAATCCATTAGAATAAAACTAAGGTGCTCCTTGTATTCTTTTAAATATATATTTTTAGTGCACTTTTAAAGACCAAATTAACATATAGAATGCCTGCACAGTATCCAACACTAAAATGACCTAATTCTGATTTCTCCCGAATCCTCCTCTAATCATTGAGTAGCAGAGGTGTATTCGATGTCTTACTCAAGGCACAAAAATCCCATTAAATGTCTTAAAAAACAGATTAAATTAATTGTGAAGATCCGCATATTTTTGCAGACTCCACACTCAGAAGCAAGCAAATGAATTAAACAGATGTAACAGAGGAAAGGCAAACATGATTCAGACACAAGTTAAAGCGAGCAAATCTTAGAGCAAGATTTGTAGAGACGGAATAACACCTGAGGTATCCAACTACTTACTAATTTTGTGCATACACGTTACACAAACTAGACCAGCAGCACAGCAATCTGAAACCAAACCCATCAAAATCCAGCTTCAGCAACTGGAAGGTTATAAGAAAGAGCCCATTTTTAGTCCTTACCCCCTTCTTCACCTAAGACTTGAAAATAAACATTTTATTCTTTCTGTCAGTTCTCAATTACCATGGGGAAAGGCAACATTGTCGGTACCTATTTTACAGGTGGACACAGAGCCAAGCTGAGGGCATGATGTGAAACAATGAACACGGAAAGAGAAAGCTTCCCAAGCTCTAGGCAAATGTTGAGGAAAAGTATTATCCTCATTTTTCCACTGCAGAACTGCAGCAAGGAGTACGACCATGATTAACGCTCAAAAAATATTTTGCATATCCAACCTGACATTTTACGGGAATGTGATTTTCAGAGCATGGTTAATACTTTCTGGAAAAGCGTAAGTCGCTCAATCTCGGAATTCTCTTCTTTGTAAAAAGATCACACAGGAGGTCTACAGGGTACCAGGCATCAAAGCTCGACCTCCCAAATTGCAGTCCAGTTCTAATTTCAACTATGAGCCTTAACACACGCTTTCAGGCAGTTATCTTTATAGCAAAATACCTTCAGCTGCCATTCAACACATCAATTACAAGACCCAGGGAAAGACTCGTCTAATTAATTGCTTCACTGGTATTACTACAACATTTCTTGAGGTTACCTTCCTCTGCAAGTTCTCTTGGCGGGCCATTTTTTTCCCCATGCTGCACTTTAGGGCTTATCTACACTGGCTCCATCTCGCTCCTGTGCTAAAAATGAAGGTACACAGCCGTCTGTTCTTTCATGTCGTATTAAGGAATAAGAAAAAAAGGCAAGGTGTGTTTCACTCAAAGCACAGCAGTCCACGGCAGGAGAGAAGAGCATTATGTGGAGGCCGTCTGCCTAAATCCCAGGCTCACATAGGAGGGTGCTTGCAGGCCTGCTTTATCTGGGATACTTCCCACAGCGTTCACGCAACCGTTCACATCAACCGAGCCAGTCTGTTCTGCAGCTTCACGTTATCGATTCCATAATTACCCTTTAAATTGTGCTACTGTTGCCAGTTACTACCCCTCTCCAGAGAAGTGCAAATGAGTGCCAGTCTACAGAATTTGCCTTTCTAGTTGAAAAGGCTGAGAAATTTTAGCTGAGAAACAGATGGGACTATGTGGAAGAGAACAAAATTAAACATAAGAGAGAACTGTTTAACTGAGAGCGAAAGTTGTACTTGCTATACTCTTCACATATCGGTCCAATTAACAATCGCTACGAATTAAGCCAGAAGTTGAAACACATTTGAAAATAAGATCTCCCAACATAACATCCAAAGTTGCTCCACTGAAAAATGGAGGGTTTTTTTTTTTTCTTTTTTTCCAAGCGTGTCTCCCAACAAAGGGAAATCAGGATCCTATTCAAACAATTTGTAATAATACAAAGGAGTCTGCTTTTCAACTTCTCAATAAACATTCTGAAGGCTGCTCTGTTTTTTTTGTTTGATGTGCTAATTGCCCGAAAGCCATAACCGGTTTCCATTCGCTCTCCTTCGGCTTGATTATTCAAAGGATAGCGGGGCTCACCTCCTGAACCTCAGGCCCGTGGGTAACCTGGGGCCAGCTCGCACGCACTCGCACACACAAAAGGCCCGAGCCAGGCTGCCCCACATCACCTCAGGTAAACTTCCCGCATCCATCTCCGCCCGCCGCAGCCGCTACCCGCCG